CTGTGAGCAAACAACTGTTTTTATATTAGCTCTGCGAAGGCTTTTTAGTAAATGGTGTCCTTTGTTAACGCCAGATGAAGGAACGTGTGAGTCACACTCAAACTTTGAGCTTGGTCACTAAAAAGCTACTGTTAAACCAAAGGCTGTGCTCCTGTCTGTGAGAGGAACTAGTGTCTAAACTCTAAACAAAAAACAAAAACTTTTATTAGCCGTTTAGGTTAAAAAAAACAAAACAAACAAACAACCAAAAATGTTAAGATAAACAGAAAATCTGGTAGAAAACATTACATCTTAAGTAATAAAAGGAAAATTCACAATAAATAACTTTTGGATGTGTGTTATAAAGCTAATCTTTACTGTGAAGCTAAACACGGGGTTCCTTATGTACCAAAGTAAAGCCAGTGCCACATTCCCAGAGGTTTCCAAAGTGTGTGCTCAGTGAACAAACAGGAACCTACTGTGGTAAAATGGCACGCCTTAAGGAGTGGAAGGATTCACTCTATGCTCTCACTGCACGCCATGCAGCCCTGCTTAGATACAGACTCATGTTTTGGCTATTCAGAGAAAAGCCAGAAAACCTTGTATCTTCTCAATCTATTAGAGCTTGTTTAAAGAAGAGGTAGGGGTTTGGCTGCTACCTGAGGATTAAGAAGAGGATTGACAATAAAGCAGCTTTAAAGAAAGACACAAAGGAATATATCTTTAAGACATGCACATTAGCACGCCTCTTGGGAGTGATTAACCACATTCATCCACCTTTCATAGTTTAAGGTCCTATGAAAGGAAACATGACAATGTGATGACACCACTGTTAATTAATTAACCTCATTTTTTGCACTTGTCCTTATTGAAAACCGTTATAATCTCACCACCACTTCTGAATTTTGTGATTTAAGTCACTAAAATCTACATCAGTTGAGAGCATCAGGTGTTCAAATAAAAGCAGGGTTTCAACCCATACGGTGGAACATATAGCTGGACAATATGGACAAAACTTTTAGCTATCAAAGTGAACAGGCGTACACTGTAAGCCCTTTAAAGTCATAGGGAAGTCATATTCAAATTTCAAATCATTCTAGCTTAAACATGTGTATAAATGTACTCTTTATCAGACCATATAGTCCCAAAAGTTTGAAAATTTCTGTTTAAAAAAAAAATCCTGTCTTAAAATCTGTGTTTTTTTCCCCGTTATTTTATGCAGGCCAGTTAGTCATACGTCAGCCTGTACACCTAAATTTGGCCAATCATATATCAGCGGTCATCTGTCAATCACATTTTTTCGGTCATAGCATCTTGATTCATATGTTGCAGCTAAAATACGCAACGGTTGAAATAAGAATCATTTACTTGACCATTGAGTTACGTCCCAGTGTTCACGGGGATGGATGTCTTTGTCTTCGGCAGTTGTAGAGCTAGCAGAACTGGCAGTGTTGCGAGGCAAGGGCTCAAACATGTACGGCTGAAAGCCTTCAACACCAAACCAAGCTTCTGCCGCCCTGGCGCCCTCTTTCAAAACAACTTTGTCCCCGCTTTCCTCCTCTGAATAAAAAATGTATGACAGGAGACTCATCCACGACCTCCGACACAAAACTGTCCTCCTCTTGCATGTTTCCGCTGTCCATTACGTTCCTTGACAGTGTCGTTGCTTAGTGCTACTTGGTCCCAATGTAATTTCCCATTGGGAACATACTAGCACTAAGTTGCTAACTGCTTAGCAAGATGTTTCCGAGACACCGGCAACAACCAAACATGCTTGCGAACCTTCCGACCCAACAATTCCGCCCCCTTGATAATCGACCCACCACATTCACTTTATTCACTTGTGTAAAGTCGGGTATCACTGGGGAGAATTCTGAACTGCAACCGATGGAACAGCCACTTCCCTACGACTTTAATAAAAATATTCAAAATTGTATGCCCTGTTCTTGGGATGTACAGCTTTGGTATGCCCTAATTTTCCTCTGGATTATGGTGGAATATTTATTGTCCCTACGGGCAACTTCATTCGCAGGAAAAAGCACGCTGCGCTGTTTGCAAGAAGGTAAGCTTGAAATGTTTACAAAATTACTCATCGAATGCCTGATAACTATAGGATTAATTTGCTGGGTTTTTTTTGTTCTTTGGGACATTACTGTACATGGAATGGTGGAAAAGCAACAGCTTAGGTAAATGAAAACTGGGAAGGCGGGTGCGGTCGCTACTAAATCTGTAGCAAATGTCAAACTGATGCCGCAATTTTTTCATGTTTGTTCATGATAATTGGAGTCTATTTCTAAAAAGTTGATAAATGGATGTTTGTGGATAATGGTGGGTTTATTTTAACATTTGGATATTTATAACTTCCCTTCGGTGCAACACACAAGCTTGTGTAATGCTACGTTCAGACCTCACATGCTTTGAACAGCAAATAAGAGTCTGCTGCTTCATTTTTTATGCTTGTCCACATTAAGGTTAGACAGATGCATTTGATGCTCCTGTGTTCAATGGCAGAGAGTGGCTTTACCATATTTGCTGTGATAAGTGGGTATAAAGTAGTTTAAATATATTTGTATGTGATAAACTCCACCTCAAAACGTTGTCTGTGCAGACAGTTCATCAAGATTACAATCCTGCTTTAAAATATTATTTCGCTGAAGGAGCTGCAGAGCCCCACATACCAGCGGTACTGTACACTGTCACTGGGGATCCCCAGCAACAGCTGTTTCAGGCCTAGTCACCTCTTGAGGTTCTTTCCCCTACTGTCCCTGGTGGCTGGAAGTAGATGTTGCTGTTTTTCCAGGTATGTGGTACAAACTGCAAGCACCAGAATAATAAAAGCGAACACAGTTTGCCGGCAGGTTTTGACATTTTAAGTTAATTTAGGTATGAATAAACGGTTTCAGTGGAGTTATCATAGTGCTGTCTGTCTCCCTGCCAGCCTCAGATCAGCTTCCCTGATTGGTTGATGTGGCGTATCGAGCAGCAAAATTTTTATTTTTCCAACTCCGGCTCTGTTGCTTGTGAAGCGTGTCATGCGCCTCACATGCTCATGTGGCGCAGCTTCAGCTGCATAAAGATGCACCGCTGCAGGACCTGTTGATGCACCTTGATGCGTGTCAACCAAAGACTTTGCATGAAAACCTGCAGCTTCTGCTGCTCAAAGCCTGTGTGGTAACACATCAGCTTACATTTAAAAAAATATACTAAGATACAATAAGATGTGACAAACAACTTTCAGATCTGTTGCAGTGTTAGCTGTATCCTTATAAGAGCATATACACAGAAATAAAATCAGTCCTGGACTGCTTCAGTTTGTCATTATTGATCAACTTGTTGTATAAGCAACAATCGAGTATTACCTTTAGCATCCTTATGAAATTTCCACCTTTGGTCAAGCACACATACTTCCCATAAGCAGGATAGAAATAGTGTTATAACAAAGACAAAAAGTAAGCTGCATCCCACCTCAAAATGCAGGAAATTGCATTTCAGAGAGTCTAAATCTTAAAATAGGGAAGGATACCATCAGTTCCCCCCTACAATGCTCCCGCAACAGGCGCGAACCGCACAGCTACGCCGCGCAAAGCCTAAAGATGTGATACACCTATGTGTACACCCTATGAAATATCTCTAGCTAAAAGCCTGACTTAACCACAATATATATATATCTTACCTTAAGCTTTTAAAGTACAATTTTATTATCAGTATAAACTAAAGAAAAGCCTAAAAAAGAATGCCTGGAACTAAATTTATGAGAAATGTTACTCCTAGTTAAAACACTCCTCGTTAAAACATTTCCTTTAAAAAAAATGAACACACAAAGGTACATAACACCCGGAATGTCAGTCATCGACAGATGCTGTAATTATACGTTGTAATGTATATTAAAATATAAAAAAAATGCATTTAAAAGTCATATCATCGTCTAAATAAAACGGTATTGCTATACATATGGATACTGAATTATTGTAGAAAACCCTGCCTAATATTCCATACCACATACCTTTGCAGTTGTAATGCACACATTAAATTTTGCAAATTAAATTCTGGTTTGAGATGTATTGAAATTATTCGGTTTTGACCTGAATGTATGCATCCTTGGCAAAGGCTAGTTTGAATCCCCAAAGGAAAGTAGAACATTATCTTATTTAATTCATCCAAAAATCCACAATTATTCCCAGTCCTGCTTAACACAGAAAATATAGATTTTTGTAGGAATAATATAAACATTTTCACAAACAGATCAATTCAAACATTTACAATAAGCAATCACCAAATTAAGCCGTAGTTCTCTGTGCAATTATTAGTGTATTGCAATGACTGTGCCACACTAATATTAATTGTTTGTTTAGTCATGCTGTCTGTTCTAGAAGCCACATTTCAGACGGCTGTTCTATAAGATGCCAATCGTAGGTTACAAATATTTAAACATTGGTAACACAATAAGAGATAAGCAGTACCCTTTAGTCTTCATATTAGACTTGAATATATATTTAAACAAAAATTCTCCTTTTTTGTGTTAAGGGGCAAACTGTAGTGGTTATTTATCAGCATGTGCAGTGTGCAGCAAAGAGGTGGGGGCAGGGAGCTGCTTTACCCTGTGCATCTACTACAGAGGATTACTCAGGGCAAAAGAAACATTTATATGGAAATCTAAACTTTTAAAAACACTTGATATGTGTTTATGCTGTTGCATGGCTAATTAGACTCCACTTCAAGGAAAGAAAGATGAGAAAACTGTGAATACAGCTAGAGACTGAAATCTAAGAATCTTCTGTTGAATATTTTCCCTAACTTTTTACGCTCTTTAGAGAGTTGAACTGATTAAAAATAAAATTGCAATCCGTTAATCAGACCTCAGAGATGTGAAAGAATGGGTTTTGGCCAGAAAAAGCTTGATTGGTACGTTTTATGTTAAATCCCTTAAGAACTTACACATTCAAAACAGCCTCAACTGCAGCACAATAGAAAAAAAATATGTAATTTACACATACAGACATGTAGAAAATGACAAATATTACCATGTCTCCAGGGATCCTTTGGCTCCACCGCTCCAGAAACAATATCGTCATCTGAAGGAAATGTCACCCTTTTTCCGCACAGTTTGTGTTTCTCTCCCCCCTCCTCCACCAAGGGATACAGTCCAGCCCGATCAGTGACAGAAGCCTCAGTGCTGCATGTCTTGTTGGCATTTGCCTGGCCTTCTGCTGTCCTGCCAGCTGGGACATCCTGAGGACTGGACTTGGAGTCCAAAATATTAGCAGAGATTGGTGTAACATTTGCAGATTCACTCTCCAGCACCCCGCTCTCATCGAGGCTTAGATCCACCCCAATGTCCATGTCCACGCCATCGTCCCCTACCTCCACAGCTTGTGGGTAATCAATGACCCTTTCCCCCTTCATGCTCACCTCCTCCTCCTCCTTAACAGTTGTGTGCTGGTCATCATTAGATGAGATCAAGTCAGAAGGATTATCTACAGCAGGGGTGTTCAGAGGACAACTCTTTTCATTTCCATTGACTTCATCAATTTCTAGTGTGTCTTGTTTCTGTAGTTTATCTCCCCCATCGGAGTGGAGATTGTCAGTAAGCTGAGGCATAAGGCAAGTTTCAGAGGCCTCTGTGGGAACACCGGTTTCTTTTTCTAAGTCACTGTCTGTCATCAGTTCCAAAATACGAGGGGTGACCCCTTCTGTGCTGTTGGTAGTGTGATGATCATCGTCCTCAATGGCTTTTGTCTTGACATTACACAAATCTAGATGCTGCTCTTCGAAATTCATGTTTACATTTCAACTTGCAACTGTGGCACACCGTATCGAAAGAATGGAAAGACTAAAAAAGTCAAAAATATCCCTGCTTTAAAGCCAAGAGAGTCTGTTTTGGTTATTCACTGGGGAAAAAAATCTTAACAGTATGATAAACATCTATACTTATCTGTTTTGGATGCCATAAAGGTACAATTAGAGGAAAACAATCGACAATTCTCAAAAACTAACCTAATAAAGTGCAATTTTACGTTAATGTTATTTTTAAAAAATGGTTTGTTTCTTTGCAAACCCTACTGCTTTCTATACTGATTCAATATCCACACTATTTAGCCTTCTATCAACGGCAAGATAAGCGCTAAATTACTGGAAGTACTGTTTGTTTCTCAGGCCCCTCTGCGCGTCAACATGTTACCAGCAGGAATAAACAGGACCAAACCAATCAACCGAAACGAACAGGTCGCAGAGGGAGCTTACAGAGCCAAGTCATCAACGTGAATTAAAGCCAGCTAACGCTTTGCTAGCTTGCTAAAGTTGTCCAACAATGACGTCCAGGCCCGAATGTTATAGCATTTCTTCTTCGTAACACAAACCTAATAGTTTCCCCAAGTTCATTATTCCGTGAGGAGAAGAATAGAGATATTTTTTCCCCCACCCTCTGTCGTGGCGTAACTCTGCTCACATCACAACCATCAGCCAGCGGCGGCGGTAGCAGCGACGGAAAAAACAGGCGTCACACTCCGAGCAATGGACATGCCTCGGCGGCTCGGCTCAGGAAACGTGCCGGGGCTCTCTGCTTACTGTTGGGAAACGGTGCCTGTGATATTCCCACCATTCAGCTCTCGGCGGTATCCCATTCTCAAGGAGGAGTCAGCTGAACGTGTTATTTTTTTATTTTGTCCAACGCTCTCCTTCGCTAGCCTGTTGAAGTCCAACAACTGTTTGTTGTGCACTATTCCAACGTCAGCACGTAGCTGTACGTAAACTCTGCACGTTTAGCTAACGCACAGGTATGGCAAGCAATTTATCATACAATAGTCAACGGACGAAAATAAAAAAGAACATTTAAAAAAAGTCAAGTTTTAGAAATATTTGCGCCTAAACACATAGGTGAAACATTCCAGACGTCATGTTTCTGGAAAATGCTTTCTGTATTCAGCAGAGGTTTATGGTCCTGTATGTCAAATCTTGACTGAAACAAGACAAGATTAGGGGCGGAGCTAGATGGGGGACCAGGGGTGGCCATGGCCCTACTATTTTTTTCCCTCTCTGAAGGCTGATTTATACTTTGAAACTAGGTCCTCCGGGTAGTTGTCGCAGTGAACAAAAAGATGTGCCCGCCCCCTCTGGAGAAGCGCTGCTGCACCTCTCCCAAATCGTAGGTGAGCGCAGACAGTGCTGCAGACAGGAGGCCGGCTTCCCTTAGCAAAAAGTAGTTTATTGAAGTGTACTTGACTGTACTATTGTTTACTTTATTGCTTACTAAAGTATACTTTAGTAAACTTAAAAAAGTCCCAATTTAGTTCGAAGAACTATTACTTTAGTAATACTTCAAGTACACTAAAAGTACATTGTTCGCTATACTTTCTAAACGTATACTTAAGTATTCTTAATAGAATTTACTTCAAGTATACTACTTTTTGCTAAGGGTTGTTTTGTTTCTATGACCGCAATTGTTGAAAACAACTCGTGAAGTTGGACATGTTAGAAGAGCGAAGTGCTGGGACCCTTTTTCCACCTGGATCTCCCCTCTTTTTTGCCGTCCTGTCCCTCCGTTGTCAGACAAACTCACCCCCACTTCCTCATTGCCTCGGCTGTATCTAGACCCACAGCATATAGCACAGACCATGCTCAAAATTGATCATAAATCAAAAATGTCAAGCTCACTGCGACACACTGCTGCTGCGAGGATAACCAGCCCTTGATAGAAATGGTGGCAGCAGTAATACTCTCAAGTGGAATGTTCCAACTTATTTAACATTTCAATCTTTCATATTTTAACAGTTACTTGACAACAAAAACACTGTAGTTAAATATCGCATCAATATAATAATATTAAACATGATAAATACAGATTCATGCTCTTTTCAGAACTAGACTTTGTCTCATGGGGTAAAGATTCATCTGCAAGTCACATATGAGTCTTCAGTGAAATCAGAGATAAATAACTACTTTAATAATAAATAATCAATAAAAAATAGATATTACATGTAAATACAAATTTATGTAGAATGATTGATGATAAAAGTAGGTAAGTAGTGACAGTGATTAAGATTTTCACCTCAGAACTCAAACTTGAAAGAATTTTGTGCTCTACACCTTTACTTTAGACAGCATGGATGCTTAAATATATGAGTACATTTGTTAGCAAAGGCTGTCGGAAAGTTTAGTTAGTCTTTATTTATAAAATATAGATGTTGTGGTTGTTCATTTTCATTTTGGAACAGTGTATGCGTATGAGATGACATGTGTTGTGAATTGGCACAATATAATAAACTGAATTGAAATTGAATTGTAAATTGACCCTGAGGTTCTAGTGCCTATTTTCGGCCACCCCTCAATTTACATTGGTTATTGCCTGGTCGCCCTCATTAAAATTCTCTGGCTACGGCTCTGCATCGGTGTCCTTATCAGGTATAAAAAAGTCAAAAAAAAAAGAAAAGTAAAGAAATAAAAATTGTATGAAGAATAAAATGCATCAAAATTACAACTCACTTTTTGGCATCACATTAAAAGAAACACTGAAAAGCAAATTTTTAATAAGTGAATAGTCGACATAGCTGAAAAAGTAATGTGTGACATAAATGGAAAAAATCTGTATCCAACATCAACTATAATATATTTTACAAAAAATCCAAGAAAATGCTTTAGAAAAGGAGCAAGGTCAAGATATAAAATCCTTAACAGTATTTACAGAAGCACAATTATTCATACCCACCACATGTATTTGATCAGGTATATATGGATACACAGTTATACATATTACTAAGCTGCAGCTAAACTACATATAGCTCTGAATAATATTGTGTAATATCCACAGGTTTTTGCTTTTGGTGAATTTATACTTGTATTTTCTACGTGTCCATGTTGTGTTTGGTGTGTTGTTGTCCCCGCCCCTTTTGTGTCCAGTGCATAATTTCTATTCCCCAAGCCACATCAAATTAGTTTTAACACATAATTACCTTTTGCCAATAGCCATGATGGTCTACTTGTGAAAACATATCTGGATATTATCCAGCCTTAAGACATCAGATTTCAGTGCTATGTTGGCAAACAGCATTTTATTTTTAGATTGCTTAGGCTAGCCCTAACAATCTCCATTAGGGAGACCCTGAGAAATGTTACATAATTTCAAGGCTATCCGGTAGTAGTTATATCTTGTGGACTACAACAAAAAATGGCAAGTGTCTAGTCTGATAATGTTACAATGACTTGCCATACTTGATCACTCTAGCAAAAATCCCCTGTTCGGTTATATGAAAGGTTTTGCACTCACAAATTCAAAAATACCGCAAGAAATGACCGTGGCTGGCTGGATGTGTTCTCTTCATCCTCTGACATGGTGCTCGTCTGCCTTAAGGTTTCTTCCTGATAAAAGGGAGTTTTTCCCTCTCCACGGTCGCTACAAGCATGCTTAGTGTGAGGGATTGCAATTGAGTCAATGCAATCAACTGGTTTTCCTTAGATAGAAAACTTTGGATCAATTTGACTGTATGATCTGGTTGAACTGTAAAGTGCCTTGAGATGACTTGTGTTGTGAATTGGCGCTATATAAACTGAATTGAAAATGCACCCGTGGGTAACTAGCTGTGGGATATACAGATTGATCAGAAAACAGCTTTACACATTTCAAGCTTTTAAAGTTATTGGTCATTTTGTAGGAAGGTTAGAGTTCAAGTGCCAGTGGAAAATTAGATTTCCAGCAAGTCACAAATGCTGTAAATTTCCAATTGCAGAGCCATTCTGATTTGAGTTAGGAGTAAAAATATGAGCCAGATAGCAGACTGGCATTTTCAAGCAGGATCCACTCTGCAACTCTGTGTCGGGACTTTTCCAAATAAAAATGCGGCAGAACCAGATCTCAGGGCTGTATTTATCCATGTGGTACACCTCACCTCTCATGTCCCTCAAACTTTTCATAAGTAGGTTAGATAAGCACTCTAAACAGCAATGCTGCTTTTTTTGCCCATCTTCCATAGAGGATGTCAACTTTCTACTTTAAACATTTAAAACCCATAAAGTGAGTTTTCTAAATAAGCCACAACAGTTTAAATGCTTACCTTCCAATTGGTACACATGTAAATAGTTCCATTTCTAACATGTTAAGAGCACTTAAAATCAGTAAAGCAAGTCAATGTTAAATTCATGTCAAACTTTAATGTTTAAGATTGATATCAGTTTAAGAGCATTAAAAAAAAGAAGTCTTTAACCCTCCCCTATAAGTTGCAGAGAGAGTTAGAATTCTTGAGATTGGACATCTTTTGACGGTGCATCTTCCTTTGCAGCTTTGGTCCTCTTCGGGAGAAGCTGTGCATGGATGTTTGGAATCACACCACCTTCTGAGAAGGTGACCCCTGCCAGTAGCTCTTTGAGCTCCTCATCATTCTTCACAGCTAACAAGATGTGACGTGGAGCAATACGTTGCTTCTTGTTGTCAGAGCTTGCATTTCCAGCCAATTCCAGTAATTCAGCACAGAGGTACTCCAATACTGCAGCGAGATACACTGCAGCACCGTTGCCAATCCTATCGGCATAGTTGCCTTTTCTGAGCAGTCTATGGATGCGGCCAACTGGGAAAGTGACTCCTGCTCTTAAGGAACGGGACACTGTAGATTTTGATTTGGGTGCAGCCTTCTTTCCTCGACCAGACATTGTGAAGCTGCATTTCAAGAAGGAAGAAAAAATATATACATTTCAAACATAACCTGAACATTTTACTGCTTAACAAATGTAAAAATTATTATTTTTTTTCTTCTTTTAAATAAGAGCCCATCTATACATTCAATTAAACCATACTCACTCAGCAGGAAGCAGCACATCCACAGTGGAGCTCAACTATGGAATGAACCAAAGAAAGTATCTTTTATCCAAGCTAAGGTAATCAGTTGATTAATGACACCTGAAGACACTTCATCACCTGTGCAAGCAGGAGGAAAGCTATAACAAATTCACCTAAACTGAAAAGTTGAATTCTTAATTCATGCATACTTTACCCAAAAATAACATTTTGTCTACTTTAGTTGTTTAGGTGAGGATTTGACAATCTTTTAATGGTGGAAACACATAAAATATGCCATCATTGCAGGGGGGGGAAATGGATTTTAGATTATATAATGCCAAGATGCATTATTACATTGCTAAATTATTATCTCATGCACAAATTGCCTTACTTTTTTTTGTTGCTATATCAACATCTAGTTCTTACATTCAGATGACTGATTTAGAGAATTTTGCACCCAAAACCGGATAAAGAGGGATTACCCTTGTAACTTTCCTACCAGCAGATGGCAGCACTAAATCATAGATCTTATTCTAAGGAATTTACTATCAGTGTTTAATTCTGTTACCTTAGTCTTATAAGGTTGGTCTCTTGTAAATGTATGCTTGTTGATGTCATGAACTTTTAGTTTGCTTCCACTGTGTCTGAGAATGGGATTTACCTGTTGATCAGCTGTTTCCTGCAAAGATAAGCCATCCCCTGTGCTGATTAATATGCAGATCCATTCAAGTAGAAGTATAAATGCTACTGTTTAAAAACACTCTAGAATTTTGAGAGTCAACTTAAGCTTTTTACTAAAGTTAAAGTGTGAAGGTATCAATTTAGAAACTACTTCAAGAAAAAAAGTAAAAATAAAGCAAGAAAAAGAGACACTATTAAGGAAAAATACTTACTCTACACAAAATGGGGCCTACACTGCACAGTCCCATCAAATGAATTCTTTTCTAGAGTCTATAAC